GCAGAGAAGGCAACAGACCCAAGTTATAGCAGCATTTACAAAGAAATTAAGGTTCTGCTTGCACCTCTAGCTGCTGGCAAGTAGAGACAACAGTTTGCCTGGATTTAACAAATGAAAAGACTTCACCTGACCATAACAAAAAAGAAATTCCCATACATACTGTTTTTAACAGATCTCTCAGTGCACTTATATATAGTTCTTAACTTAATAGAATATCATAACATTCTATCAATTGTTCAAAATATGATAGAATGATTTGTGCACCGGACATGTCCTTAAGCCACCCCATATCACTACCATGTTTCAGTTTATGACAATTTTCAAACATTCAAAAATTAGACGCAAAACTACAACTGTGACACTTACTACAAATTTACCACATAAGGATGGGGAATCGTTTAGAGCAGAGGGCTGCATTCACATATAGGCAAGCATTTGGGGAATGCATTCCTGCAGTGAGTGAGGCTTCAGACAAAAATTGGCAGTGCATACACACAAGTTTTATCTCCTTCTCTTCTCTTGCCTGCAGAGAGTCCTACTGCTCAGCTAATGAAGGAGTAATGACAAGGGGAGCATTAAACCTCACCCTCCTTGCCCCCCCTCTTTAGTGTGTGCTCTCTTTCACACACAGGGAGCAATTTACTAAAAGCTACTTGAGCAGTAGGGGAAAGAGGATTCAATAATTCAATTTTTCCTGCTTCTCAATAATTTTCTAACTATAAGGGAAGTGTAGAGAGTATGAGGAGGTAGCTAAAAAGAAAAAGCACAATAGATGGGGAGCTATATGGGCCACATACGGGCAAAGGTTCCTCTCCCAGACATAGCACAACTTTACAATTACCCCTCTTCATTCTACTATAGTGCTTCCTGAACATTGCCCCTGGAGATCCTCTTTAAGTACAAGCTGTAAAAACAAAGATCAAGACATCTGACCAAAAGCATCTGAGGAAGTAGACTGAAGTCTATGAAAGCTCATGCTGCCAACTTCTTTCTTTCATTTAGTCTCAAAGGTGCTACAAGATCTCTCTACATAAAGATCAAGACAATATTTCATAAATGCAGTATATGCCTGAGTTATGACAGCCTTCTTGTGGTTTCCTGAACATTTGACGCTATAATATATAAGACCCCAGCTTGCAATAAAACTGGTATATATTCAATACCAGAATGAGATTAAAGCAAAATAATTTGAATTCAGATTAAATACTATCATGAAAATGACACTCCATCTCATTTTATCAGAACTGTAAAGCAATTAAATAAGAATGGGGAGGAATCTTGTTCAGAATTACTTTTAAATGT